TCCTCTGCCCTCTCTCCCTGTGGCCTGAGGACCACGCTGGCCCCCAGCCTCAGGACGTACAGTTTGTGTCCCAATGCCATGTGACGTGGGGAGGGTGGACACCTTGTCCTTCCGCACTGCCCATCCTGACACCACGCCCCAGGGAGCCAGGAGGTAGACGAGCACCCTCCTCAGCACTCCTTGCCCTGCACCCTGTCCCTCCTGTCCCAGACCCTTGTGCTCCTATGTCCCCTCCTGCTAAGTTTGGGGGAGTAAGATTCAGGGTGGGAGTGGCCTTGGGTGGCTGCTGACCCTGCCTCCGTTTCCGCATCTGCGTGAAGGTTGGGCCTCCCCACCAAGGACCTACAGGCTGCGTGGAGCCTGGCATAGACAGGCATGACACTGGGAGCTGGACCACCGTGTCACAGCTGGGCAGTGGCAGAGACTGGCATGGCACCTGCCCAAGACAAGGGGGCTTGCTGCAGTAACGAGGGGCTGGGGCGAAGGGCACTCAGCAGGGGACGGAGCCTGCTGGGGTGACTGGAGGAGGGCCAGCCGGAGCCAGGCCTTGAGGCCCATGCGCACGTTCGCCTTCACCCCAGGGACAGGGCTGGCCACACCTGAGGCCACATCCCAGGGGGCCTGGTGCAGCCCCAGGATGGGGTAGCCGAGAGGTGGGGCAGTGTGGGCAGGGACAGGGGCAGGTAGAGCTTTCTGGGGCATGGGCAGAGGAGGGCGGAAGAGGCAGACAGCGTCATGCTGCCATTTATGGGGTGGCACAAAGGTGTGCTTCTGCGGGCTCGTACAGCCTTACACTCAGGCTTATGAGGTCACACACGTCCACAGCCCCCTAAAATCTCCTGTGCATATAAAGCCACAATCTCACAATCACTCAGAATCACACATGATCCCCCCACTCTGGGAGGCTGAGGCAGGAAGACCAAAGCTTGAGTCCAGCCTGGGCAATTTATCCAGACCCTGCCTCGAAACTAAAACCACAAAGGGCTGTGGGTGGAGCTAAGGCCTTAAGGCCCTGGGTTCGTCCCCAGCGTCCCCAGAGCTGCTCCAAACAGTCACACCCCACACAAGTCACAGAGCAAAAGCCAAAAGCTACAGGAAATGACAGCCGCAGGCCACACACACGCCCCCACTCGCACGCCACCCTCCGCCGGCCTGCCCCCCCAGGGCGAGGCAATGAACGCTGGACACTGGCAGGTGCATGGGCTGGGACAAGGGGTGGCCATTGCTCCGGCCCAAGCCAGAGTGTGCAGGCACACTCGTGAGTGTGCAGGAGGCTGTGAGGGCAGAAAGCCGAGGGGGCCAGGGCCTGGGGTGAGGGTGGGCAGGAAGCACTCGGGGTCAGTGCTTCCTTCAGGGGTGATGACCAGGGTCGGGGCCGGGGGTGCTGCATGGCATCCCCCATGGGCTAAGTGTCACGGAAGAGCTGGCTTCGGAATGGCTCCCTTTATGTGCTCCAACTTTGGTCCAGTAAACCGTCATTTGTACAAGGGCAACTCAAAGCCAGGCACAGAGGCACACACCTGTGACCCCAGGCACTTGGGAGGCTGAGGCAGGAAGATTGCAGGTTTGAGGCCAGCCTGGATAACTTAGTGAGACTCTGTCTCAGAGAATAAGGGCTAGGATGCATGCTTGCCTAGCATACATGAGGCCTGAGTTCTCATCTCCAACACAGGAAAACACAAAACCAAAAATCAGCCAACTTACATGCTGTCCTGGGTGTCCCCTGCCTGCCAGGTAAGAACTGGGGCTGGGGCAGTCCCTGTGCCAGAGATCTCAGCCGCCGACAATTGGCTGCCCCTGCCCCATGCAGCCATGGCCAGGCAAAGAGCCGGGGGCTGTGGGCAGTGAGCACGGTGGAAAAGTACCTCATCCTGGACGTGGGGACCCTGGTGGCTTCAAGGCACAAGCATGGTAGCCTTTACCCGCCGGTCGCCGGCCAGGGGTGACCGCTCTCGGGGGTGGCTGTAATCCATTCTGCTGGGTGTGTTTACACAGCCTGGTCTCATTTAGCTGGTTAAGTGTTTATTTGGTTTTTAAAAATCCACAAAGAACAGCAGGGCCACCCTCTCCACAGCCACCGTGTCAGGGGAGAAACGGGCCGCAGAGGGCGGCTGAGGTCGGAGGCGGTGCCGTCCACAAAGCCTGCGCCGGCCTGGGCTCCCTGGGCTGTGAGCCGCTCCGGCCTCAGCCCTCTGCACGCGTCATTCTGGCCCCAGCCACGTGGGGCAGGCACTGTGTCACCTATAGGGAAGACACTGAGGCCCAGGTCCCGCGGTGCCACCTCCAGCACCCCGCCAGGGTCCCGCTGGCAGCCCTGTCCCTGAGTCCAGCCCACCGCGCCGGCTCCTGTTCATAGGGGAGGGAACCCTGGCTCCCGGCAAGCACCCCCAGAGCTGGTGGGTGCGGGAGATCTCGGGCCCTCGAGCCAGGGATGCGTGTGGCTGCGTGGTCAGCCCTCCTGGCCATCGGGCTGTGTGCTGTGCAGGAGCCCCTGCGTCCCTGCCTGGTGCCCAAGGTTTGGGCCAGGAGCTTTGCTGCGATGATCGATGACAGTGCCACATCTGCTGGGGGCCTCGGGGAGCTTGGGGCCAGGTCACCGGGCCAGCAAACAGTATCTGAGCCGGTCACCCCAAGCCAGGAGGTCCTCAGGCCACTTGGGGTCCATCTGCCTTGCTCCTGGAGCCAGGCCCGCATGAGCAGAGCCCCACCCAGCTGGCGCCCCCACGCTTGCCCTGCGGGCCACACCCCGAGATGCTGGCGGCTCCTAACTGCAGCATTCTGGGGTCTTGATGGACCTCAGACTGTGCCTGCCACCCTGCCCTGCCCTGCCCTGCCCTGCCCTGCCCTGCCCTGCCCTGCCCTGCCCACACAGGGGCCCTGCAAGCACACTGGTCCCACCCACCCTGCCGCGCCCAGCTCCCCCTCTGCAGCACCCAGCTGAGGGTCTGTCCTTCTGCCCGAGGCACAGTGCTAGTACAGAGCCCCGTACCGCCTTCGCCTGCGGCCGCACAGCAGTGCGCGCTCAGCACCTGTGGACCCGCGGGGGAACGCCGGTGCCAGGGCCCGCAGCACGTGGCATTTGCAGGGTCCTGGCGCCCTCTGGTGGGCAGTGTGTGGACACTGCAGCGCCAACCCCTGCAGGATTCAGACAAAGCCTGTGTGCACCCTGGCGACAGCCTGAGATCGGCAAGGTGCCTGCCCTGAGTGGCACCCCGGGCCTCTGCGTGTGCAGGTGGGGAGGTGGGTCCATGTCCCGGTGTCACCACGTGGCTCACGTCCGTCATGTCAAATGTAACAACTGTCGCCTGCCACTTACACTCCCAAGCGCCCTCCCTGGGCCTCACTGTCCTCTCTGTGAGGGGCGATGGTGGAGGTCAGCACAGGACAGTCTGGGGGTTTCCGTAAGCAGCGCTGCCGAGGACGTGCGGCCCGTGCACAGGGAGGACGCTGAGGGACACGCCTGCCACGGCCCCGCCGCTCGGCCTGTGAAGCGTCACCTCAGGCCTGCGGAGGCCCCGGGAGCAGGGCAGGCCGGCAGGTTCCACTCGCAGCCCCAGTGGGGTGCGACAGTCTGTTCCAGAAGACTCTGGAACCCGCGGGGTCTCCTGGGGAGAAGCTGGCTCCTTGTCCCTGTGGCCTTGCCAGCCAGAGGTCACGGGCTCCCGCAGGACATCGGGGAGAGCCACCGGCGAGAAGGTCGAAGAGCACGCAGACAGGAGTCAGAGGACGTCGTCCTCGTCCTCCAGGAGGGGACAGCAACTCTCAGTAGGCAAATGTCACAGCCTGGTGACAGCCCGGGAGACCTGGGGTCAGGGCTACGGGTGCTTTTGGAAAACAGCACCCAACAAGGGAGGAAAGGCTGGGCCTGGGCCGTCCCCACCCGGCTTGGGAGCAGAGAGAAGACGGCAGTGGTGTCCGGAGCCACAGGGCGTGGCCAAGCGTCCGGGCCGGCGCTGCTGTCTGTGACACAGCCGGAGCAGAGGAAAGGCTTCCAAGCGTCAGCGAGGAAAGTGGTGGTCACAACGCGGACAGAGGGCCAGGCCCTATGCGCCCCCTTCACAGTGCCACAGGAACCTGGGAGGGTGGCCCTGGGACATGGGCGTGGGGCCTGGGAGTGCGGGACAGTTGGCGGTGCCTGGGAGAGGCCAAGCCAGCCTTGCAGGGTGCACGAGTAGAGCAGACATGGCCCTAGCGCACATGAGGCAGTCACCTCCAGAAGGGCGAGCTTGGACGGCGCATCACAGGCCCTCGCACACCGGGGCCCACTGTGTGACGAGCAGAGCGAGCCCTGGGGACAGCGATGCTGGCGCCCTGTGCCCTCTGCCCACACACGCCTGCCTTTTAGGGAGACTTTGGCCTGCTGCCACGGCCTGCCTTTCCCTGCACAGGTCCCCAGGGCGAGCACCCCACAACCCCCAGGCCGCCCTTCCCTTCCTGCTCACCGGCAACAGCCACAGGGGTGCCGGATGGGCCGGGCCTAACCACCTCCCGCCGTCGGGACAATGTGCTGTCCTCCCTATGCGGGTTGTGGGGTGAGGTTGCAACGCACGCGCCTTCTGCAGAGCCCCACACGCCCAGCTGCACCTGGCTCCTGGCTCTGCGTCCCTCCTGTCTGGACACCAACCGTGAAGCTTATACCTCCTGGGCCACTGCACTGGGCACCTGGGGTATGTGCAGCGGGGAGAGGCCACACTGGGGCCCTCTCAGACCAAACATTTGGGTTTGCTGAATGAATTCAAAGTTGTAGGCCCCAGAAATGCGGAACCGTAGATTTCTAGTAGCTTATTAAATTATGCACTAAAACCAACTGTAGGACGGCTGAGTGGCGGCGAGGGGAGTGGAAAGGACTCCCAGGACGGCCGCGACGAGGCTGCCTAAGGCAGATGCCAGGGGCTCGAAGGTCACAGGTGCCGAGGGCAGGCGCACAAGCGTGTGGGCCAGGCCCAGTGGGTAAACAGAGGCCTCCCGCTCCCATCCAGAAGAAGCGCACCATCCGGAAATGGTCTGAGAACGGCTGCGGGGCTACTTTATTTCATATAAAAGTTACACGGAAGGAGAGGTCGCAAAGTCAAGTATACTTGGTTGCACGGACTTGCCAAGTCTCACAGGGTTCACCACTTGGACGGTCATGTGACTGATGAATGGGAGATACACAGTAAAAGCCTCACACCGGAGCCCACACGCTGGTCCACCCCAGACACAGATGTGCAAATGATGCGCAGAGCAGCCGCACGCACGCTGTCCTGACGGCCCGCCCGCCGCGCCTGTCTCTGCAGCGTCCCCGGGGAGGCCCTCAGCGGACGTCCTCACGCGGGCCGGGCACAGAGCCGCCGCCGCCAGCACAATGGTACCAGGCGGGGACCACGCAGGAGACGGACACCTGGAAGCCCCACTGCCCAGCCCGAAGCCCAGGCAGCAGAGGTGCAGCCGGGCAGTTTAAGGCAAATCCCCAGGAGGGGCTGTTTGCTTTCTGGTGTAATTTTAAGCTCACACCAAGGGTCCGATCTGATCACCTGTGCCACGGGTAGAGAAACATAAAAACAAAAGCCACCCCTCTGGTGCCCTCCTGGCCACCGCCTGAGCCGCACCTGCTTGGGGGGCCGAAGGCCGCCTGCCACCCGCCCAGCACCCAGCGCCAGCTCTCCTACAGCCGGGGCCGGCCGCTTGCCGCCAACTTGGCTGGAACCACGGATCAGCCCCAGGCCTTCCAACTCTGGGTTCCTGAGGGGAGGTCGCACAGGAGGCGTCCAGGGCCACACAGGGATGGCTTCTTTGGGTCGAGACACTGTCCAGTCAGGAATACATTCATAGACACTGCGGGGGACCCGCACAGTGCACCCCTCTTCCCTGAAACGTCAGCATCTGAAAAATAGCTTGTTGCTGTACACAGCTGCTGAAGTCACACCGCGGAGACAACACTGCCGACTTGGACACATGCACACAGCACACGCACAGACGCAGACAGCTGGGAGGGAGGCCGTCTCCCGGGCCCGGAGTGCTCTGGAAGCTGCCTTCGCTGCTCGGTGCGCCGGGCTTCTGCACCTTTGGTGCCCAGGGCCCGGGCTTGGAGAGCACGGCCTCCGCTCAGGGAGTGTGCTGGTGACGCAGGGCCAGCGGCCTCCCCGCAGGTGCCGCTCGGGCACGGGGAAGGCTCACATCGCTTGCTCTCAGGCGAACAGTCACACCGTCTGCTGGCGACGGTGACCTCTGCCCACATCCAGGTGGCCGCTTGCTGTAGCCGCCGCACAGGTCCCGCCTGCCCTCCTGTCACGGGGCCCTGCGGAGCCACAAGGCCAGAGACCACAGGCGAGTCACGGCCCCAGGCGAGGCTCACACCGAGAACTCCGGGCCGCCTTTCCTGGGCCGGGCCTGCAGTCGCCTGAAGCGGAAGCCCACAAAGGGATTCATCCACAGCAGGGAGGGGGGGCCCCCGAAGACCGACTTCATCCCTTCCCAGCGCAGCCTCCGCTCCCACGTGGGCTTCTCGCTTTTCAGCCTCTCGATCTCCTGGAAGCAGAGAAGAGCATGGATGGCAGTGCTCCACCGCGGCCGTGGGTACACGGAGCACACCGACCTTGGGCCTGGCTCTGGACTGGGCGTCAGGCACAGGGCCCCTCCTGCGTGGCAGCCCTGCCCGCCCCTTGCGCCACCCCAGACCTGTACGGGCGCAGGCAGTGCCCACCCTTACAGAGCACCCACCCGTCGCTCCGTAAGTATTTCCCGTGCCTTCCTGAGGGCCGCGGTGCAAGGACAGGGGGGCAGCCACGTGGCTGAAGCCGGGCGCTCTGGGCCAAGACCCGCCTGGCTGTGACTCTCAAACAACGGTGCGCGCCAGGTCAGCACAAGGAGTAATGGAGCCCGGACGTGTGGCTCACGGGGATGCCCAGCCAGCCTCCCAGGAGCACACCCTCTCCCGCATGCCCGCGCAGACACCCGCCAGGGAGTCCTACCGTCTCATCGTTGCATATTGAGTGGATCTGGGTGCCGAACATCACTGCAGTGAATGTGAAAAACAGCAGACCCTCAAGGCACAGGAAGATCAACAGGATTACAGTTATCGGAGGAGAGAAGTCGCTGCACTCTGTGGGGAGCGAGGCGGGTGTGACTGCGGGGGGCACGAGGAGCCCTGCTCCCTGAGGAACGGGCGGGAACCCCCTCCCCGGAGAAACGGCACACGGCTGCGTCCTGGCCGGGGCTGAGGAGGTTCTGTGCTCCCTGAGGCTCCCGCGGGCTCTGGATGGTGTCCAGATGGGGCCGCCCCACGGGAATCCCGCCCCCAGCCGCCTTACTCCTGTCCACAGCAACGCCCGCTCTCCCACTACCAGCACACGGACTAGCTGGGAACAAGGGTTCGCCAGCCGACCAGGAAGCAGGCCCACGGTTTGGAGGAACAAGACTCACTTTCCTCTAGTTGCAGAAATCTACAAAATACAGCTAAAATTATTTAGTAGAAATTCACCACTGAGGAAGAAGAATTATATGGCCTTCGTCCAACAGCATAACTTAACCATGTTCTTTTCCTAAAAAATTTGATTCCTAACACAACAGCAAGGACTTCCTTCAAACCGGGAGAGGTAACTCTTCCTTTGGGGAGCGCCCAGGGGCCCAGCTCACCGGTCCACTGTCCCCGCACACAGGAGATGAACTGCAGGCCGCAGAGGATGAGCGCGTGCACTGACGACAGGGCTATGTACATCTAAAGGGGGAGACGGTCACTGGCGGCCCGTCGCGGGCAGCAGCGGCAAGCCCTCCACCCACTCCACCACCACGCCAAACAAAGGGAGCCGGGAAGCTGGCCAGGTTGACCTCTGCCTACCCAAGACATCAGACCGAGTAACATAATTTTGCTGAAGCAAACAGTGGGGAAATGAGTTCTAGCACATGTCAGAGTAAGACACCACTGCAGTGCTGAGTTAGTAGCTCCTGCCGCCTTGAACCACCGGTGGTACTAAGGGTCTAATCACCTCCATGGGCCTTTGTACTAATGAAGTTAATAAAAAGCCTCCTGATAGGACACTCATGCATATACACTGGTAGTCCAAGCCACCTGGCAGCCCCACCATGAACACGTCAAGACACTGGGAGAAAATTAAACCACAGCCAACCCCTAAAATAACACAGCAACATCGTTCATCCGTGGGGACACCTTCCTGCAGATGGCAGCATGGTACTGTCACGTGAGCTCCGGGGGGAGGCTGGAGGACGCCAGTCTGACGTCACACTTGGTCTCCTTGCCCAAGACCAGATTCTAGTTAAAGAATCTCAAATTCAACGTAATCACTGTGGAAGCATTTTTACTTACAGTGAAGAGCACGAAAAACCTCTGATTCTTTTCTCCCACACAATTGTTCACCCACGGGCAGTGATGGTCCATTTTCCGAATACATCTTTTGCAAATACTGAAAAGGACAGTCTGGTTTTCAGTATTTCACACCGTGAGGAAACCAAAGTAACCCCAGCAAACGAAACCAAAGGGGGAGAAATACACTCTAACACAGCATGCCTAACGCACTCCCCACACGGCCCGCCACCCACCTGCCAGGCGCACAGCTCGTATTACTTTCCGATAAACGCCTGCTGTTCCCAGGGCAAGGGGCGGGCAGGTGAGAGCCCAGGCCCCGAGTGTGTGTCGCACCCAACAGCACCCCCTGGATCGTGAGCTCACAGCGATCACTGCCGCTCAGTGGAAGACAAGAACGAGCCTTCACGTTTAGGGGAAGACAAACGCTTGCTGCCTCCCAGCAGCCCGGGTCACCAGGCTCGTGCAGCCTGTGCGCGGGGCCTCGCCCTTCCCCTGGGATCTCGCTTGCCCCAGTCATGGAAACACCACTTTTATTTGCCGTCAGTTGTGTTTTAGAAGCAGTGGCCACGCGGCAGAGGCAAGCTGAGCATCCAGCTAGGGCAGCAGTTCCCATTCCCAGAGGACCTTCCTGGACCAGTCACTTTCTGCGTCCAGCTTCTCTGCCCGACTTCTGCCTCAGCCTCGAATCCAGGAACTGACAAGTGTTCCCACGGCAGACAGCTCTGGGGCGTTGTTTACACACCTGCAGCCCGCCCGCTTCAAGCGTGGAGCTGGGTGACTGGCCGTCCTGCAGAGCTATGGGACACCACCGCGCAGTGATGCCCCCTGCCAGCCCAGCCGGGCCCCGGCTCATCTGCTGTCTCCACACCACAGCATCTGCTTGCTCCCTGCCCCGCTGCACGAGACAAACCTTCCCAAAGCTCTCTGCAGCTGTAAGTAGCTGAAGCTCTTTAAGCACGGCTTCTCCCATAGAATCCGAGGAGATGGCCAGCTTGTCCCAAGTGCTCCCCCTGGAGGACACTGGCTGTCGCGGCCACGCCGCACCATGGGGTGGGTGGGGAAATACTCTCAGGCCGCTGGGCTTTCACACTGGAGGCCCTCCGCCACCTCCAGGAGCCAACAGACCTCCAGCAGTCGGGAGCAGACCAGCTTGGCACGGTCACAGTGCAGGTAGTACTCGGACTGGGTGTCTGCTCCCTTTCTAAACCTTGGTGCTTGTGAGCATACCCAGAAGAACCGAGCTTCTACACTGAGCACCGCACCTGGTGAGGCTAACAGTGGACACACAAGAACGCTTCCTTTGCGAAGCCAGGCATGGTGGTACACGCCTACCTTCCCAGCATGCTGGGAGGCTGAAGCAGAAGATTTCCCAGTCTGTCCCATTTGGGGAACTTAGTGACACCTTGTCTTAAAATTTAAAACATAAGAGCCAGGTGTGGTGGTGTGCAGCTATAATCCCAGCACATAGGAGGCTGAGGCAGGAGGATTGCCATGAGTTTGCAGCCAGCCTGGACTATGCAGTGAGTGCAAGGCCAGCCTGAACTACAAAGCAAGACCCTGTCTCAGAGAAAACAAAACAAAACAAAAAAACCAGCCAGGTGTGGTGGCGCACGCCTGTAATCCCAGCACTCAGGAGGCTGAGGCAGGAGGATTGTTGCGAGTTCGAGGCCAGCCTGGGCTACAAATTGAGTCCCAGTCCAGCCTGAACTGTATAGCGAGACCCTGTCTCAAAAAGACAAAAAAAACCCCAACCTTTAAAATGGGCTGGGGCTACAGGCTAGCACGAAGGACTGGGTACAATGAAGAGGTGTGCGGGGGCAGCTTGCGGTGCGGTGAGTAGGAGAGTGCCTGCGGGGCGCACAGGGGCCTGGGCTGCACCCCCGTGCAAGAGCCTCCCGCCACCCCGGGCCCAGGGAGGGCCGGCTGCGTACCTGCAGTGGTGGGCGCGCTCGGGCTTGATGCAGCAGCACTTGGGGCACTTGTAGAGCACCTCGCCGGGCTTCAGCTGCAGGCTCTGCACGTGCTCCTTCGTGGCGTTCCCCCTGGGCACTGCCCCCTGCACCAGCGCGTCCGTGGGGTAGGAAGGAGAAAGCACTCACGTTAGGGGTCAGCAACAACTCCACACTTCACCAAACAGCCACACCGTGCCGTCGCAAGAGCACATTGAGCATGTAAAGGAGCCAAAGCACAGGCCCGGCTTCCCTTTCAGTGAAAAGCGACACTGAACGCTCTCCGGCTCCATGCAGGGCGCAGGGGCGGCCAGGCCTAGTCCTGGGAAGGACTGGCCGGGCAGGCGCCGCCCTGGGGTTTCCTGTCACGTGGGGCAGAAGGAGTAAACAGCATCCTGGCTATAAAGCCTGGAGGGGGCAAGGGGGCGCAGAGACCAGGAGGGCACAATTGGGCACACAGGGACCCTGCCTGTGAGCTCCTTTCGGCCAGCAAAACCCTGGAGACTCTGCAGGGGTTGGTCGCGCAGGACCCAAGAAAGCTCCTGGGCGCCAGGGCCGACCGCACCAGTCTAGTCTCCTGTCTGGAAGTGAAGGGCTTCACTCCAGCCCCCAGCCACTCGGGGAAGGGAGGCCTCGGACCGCGCCTGCTCTGCGTCTCCTCCCCTCCTTCCCCGGCACCACCACGCGCCAGGCCTCCAGCTCCCCGAGCAGATCACAGGACTGCAGAGCGTGCACAGAAGCGGTCACAGCGCGGCTCTGAAGGGGTCCTGTCACACAGGGCGGGTGGCAACCACCGAAGGGCCCTTTCCTGTACAGCGAGACCGTGGAAGGGGCGGGGCGGGGTGAGGGTCCCGAGAGCTGGCTGCTTCTGTAGGAAGCAGGGACGCGTGCATGGCTCTGCAGCTCAGAGGCCTTTGACACCTCCACAGGGATCCGACCTCAGTCTCCAGTCCCCTCCAGGACCCAGGAAGTCTGCTCTGCTCATTCAGAGCCTCAAACCCTCTCCTTTCCCCCACCACACATGCCACGAGGACGGTGGCCTGAGCCACTCCCGCCGGCAGTGTCCGCTCCTGCCGCTGAGGCGAGCACTGCCCAGCTCATGGCACCTGCTCACCCTGGCAGCGCAAGGGCTCGGCCTGAGGGCACCCCACCCTGTGGTGGAACGCTGTCTGAGGAGTGCAGAAAGCCAGGCAGGCAGGGGACACTCCGTCTCTCCTTCACCCAAGTGCCAACCTGGGCTCAGCCACCCAAGGACCTGGTCTGCAGGCCGAGCATGGAGCCAGGACACACAGCCCAAGGGCAGCCTGTCCCTCTGCCACCTTCCCAGCCCCTTTCACAGCCCGGCCCCTGGGTTGATTCACACCACTCCTAGCGGCTTCTGTCAGCTGCCACCAGCACTGAACGCACGGCATGGCTGGAAAGTGACATCCCAACGGGCAAAGGGCGCAGCCACTTCTGAGAGAAGACTGCACGCAAGCACAGGAAAGCAGTCCTTCAGGAAATGAAAACTGCCAGGTGTGGTGGTGCACACGTCATCCCAGCACTTGGGAGGCTGAGGCAAGAGGATCCCCATGACGTCAAGGCCAGCCTGGGCTACATAGAGAGTTCAGGACCAACCTGATCTATGTAGTGAGACCTTGTCTCAAACCCCCTCCCCCATAAAGAAATCAAAATTAAAGTCATAATGAGAGCCATGCATGGTGGCACACATCCGTATCCCAGCTATTCTGGAGGCTGAGATAACAAGATCTCAAGTTTGAGCCCAGCCCAGGCCACTTAGCAAGACCCTGTCTCAAAATGAGCTGTAGAAAGGGCTGGGGTCGGAGATCAGTGTAGAGCATGCTGGGTTTCATGCTCAGTACCACAAAAACAAGCCAACTGTAAGCCACCACTCTGCAACAGTCTAACAAGTGCTGGCGTGGATGTGGGGAAGCGGAAGCCACACTCCCCTGGTGGACTGGAAAACAGCACTGCAGCCTGGAGGACAGCTTGGCAGTGAGCACCGGGCTCCCTGTGCCCGCATGGCAGCATCCACCCGCCACCTGCACACCCAGGTGCACGGCGGCCCTGTCCCACCACCAGAGGGAACAACCCCCTGCCGGCGACCGACGACACAGGTGCGCACTCCCCACACTGTGGAAGAGCCGCAGCCAGGAAAAGGAATGAGGCTGTGACCCACGCCACGCCCCCGTTACCCACCAAACAGGAGGCGGTAGGCCACAGTCCAGGACAAAGGCCACATGCACAGTGACCCACCCACACGGACGACCCTGAACGCAACTCCACAGCGCTCCGGGCACAGGAGGCTGCAGGGGCTGGGGAGGTTTGGGGACCCTCTACGGGCGGCAGGGGTGTCTGCACCACTCAGAAGGCACTGGGCCCCACTGACATGCACACCCCCAGGGACGCACGGCAGGGCAGAGCAGGTCCCAGCTAGCTTCACGGGAACTGCTAAGGTCAAGACGACTGAGAGGAGGAGTAGCCCAGGCCCCTCACTCGAAGATTTACACTGAAAGGAGACAGAGGCAGGAGCAGCACTTGAGTCCATGGGTCTGAGACCAGCCTGAGCCACACTCAGGACTCTGTCTGGAAAAGGGACAGTCTAGGCTGGACACACAGCAGGGACCACAGCTACTGTGGTCACGTTCACTGTGTACAGCAGGTCGATGCTACACGCCCACAGCCAGGATCGGACAGAACCCGAGGTGACACAGTGACCCTTCCCACCCCACCACCCTCGCACACGGGGACTCACGGGGTCAGTGAGCATGGTCCTCAGGTGCGACGAGAGCGCCAGCACCGCCAGGCAGTTGAAGATGACCCCATTCACCACGGAGTACCAGAAGTCTTTGGAAGGCAGCAGCATGACGAAGGTCACCACGAAGTCTGCGTAAACAACCAGGAGCCACGTCATGACGGCACAGACCATGCCGCAGCCATCGCGGATGAACCACACCCTGTCTGTGGCGTCGGCCTCGGAGGAAGAAGAGGAGGCAGAGTCATAGCTGTCGTTTTCAGTCAGGAGGGGATGGTGCTCGACATCCCGGAGCCGGTGTCCTGCGGGCTGCATGGTTCCCGGACACACCCTGCAAAGGAGAGAGCTATTGAGGCTCGGGGGGTCTCGTGTCCACCCAGGCTCTCCAGCCACTGTGAACGTGATGGGCCATGGCATGCCCTGGCCACGTGACAGCGAGCTACGTACACAGAGCAGAAGGGAACATACACTTCAGTAGCTAAAAGCTGTGTTTCTGAGAAGCCCCACGTCTCCCTCCATGCAGGGGGCAGAGGTCCTTCCTCCAAACAGCCAACCTGACTGAGGGTGAGACCAGCACCCCAGAGCAGCACATCTCTCGAGGACTGAGGTGCAGCCCTGCCCCAGGGGCCAGGTGACACACAGCTGGACACAGATGCCCCAGAAGCTCAAGCGCAGGCCAGGGGCAGGCCCAGGCTCTGGGTGTAACCTTCAGAGCGGCTGGATCGGAAGGAGATGGCGCTGAGTCCAGTTCTGCTTGAGCTCCTGCCCCACCACCTACCCAGCCGGAGGCCCGTGGCCCAACTCGCTGCAGGTCGGTATACTGAAAGCACCCATCTCTGCTCTGGGTAAGGGTGGCTCAGGAGTGGACCTTAAGGTTTGTATCCAGTTTGTATTTGACACTATTATTGCTACTGATTTTACTACTACAGCTAAGGTGACATGGTTGTTGCTGTCAAATGTTTTTCTCCGTATAGTACATGTGCCAGTATCAGGACTGCCTGGGGGCCTCAAACAATACTGCGGTCCATTTCTGATCAACCAGGTACTGGACCAAACAACTGCAACCTCCCCTCCCAAATAAACAGAAGTAGCTGGGGCAAAGGCCAGTAGCGAGCCACGGCCACAGGATGTCTCTGCAACACAGCTACACGCTGGAGTTGGCCCACAAACCCAGAGCAGAAGACGAACAGCCCACAGACAGAAACGCGAGCACACAAGGCACCAAAATGCCTCCAGAACTCCGACTTCTCCAGAGCCAGTGCAGGGAGCACCAAGGCGAGGACAGCCAAGCCCCGCAGCAGAAGGGTCTGAAAGACATCACCAGTGGAGGCAATGAAACATGAACAAGGCGCGTGGCGAGCTCAGAGGAGCAACTGAACAGATAATGCAGATAATGAGCCCAGTGAAAACAAGATCAGCGCAACGAGAGAAGACACTAATAAAAATCTGCCAGAGCTGAGGAGATGCACAGCTGAATTCCCAGCACAGAAAAGAATGCTAACCCGCAAAAACCTTTCAAACGGAAATCCAGATAGTTAAATTATGGAAATCATGAGCAGCAGAAGCAACCAATGCGAGGACACAGTGTCGCCCCTAGCAGACAGGGCAGTGACCGTGATGAGAGTCCACAGCAACAAGAAAACGCGAAATCGACCCAAGAGCTGCCGGATGGCACGGAGAAGCCCGACCCCTGAGCAACGGGAGCTAGTGAAACAGCAGAAGCCAACACAAAGAGCAAAACGCCTGTGTACACTCTTCCGCCCAGGCCGCCACCGAGTGCGCTCGTGCCTCGGAGCCTAGCCATGTCCTCTCACAAGACTTTCAGAACCACACGACTCCTGGCCAAGAAGCAGAAGCAGCATCGCCCCATTCCTCACTGGACTTGGATGAAGACTGGTCATAAACTCAGGTACAACTCCAAGAGGAGACGCTGGAGGAGGACCAAGCGGGGACTGTAAGGAGCTGCACATGAGCTGCAGCACATTTACGCTCTCAGAGGTCATGAGATGACACCCTCTTTATCATGCTCAAGACAGTATCACCGTATCAAGCTTAAAAAATACCACTGGTCGGACAGTGGAATATACTTAGTCAGGAATCTTACATCTTTTCTGTGATCAGCACTAATAGATCAACAATAAATATTTGAAAAAAAACCTGTTTACAGAAGTGATGGAAAAAGAGTCCAACACATAAATAAGAGAAGCATATAGAACCTAAGTAGCCATGAGCACAAAACAAACCCACTCTTGCCACATCGTAATTAAAACACCAGAAACCCAGCACAAGAACAGACTCTTCAAAGCTGTCATAAAAATGACAGATCACTTACAAGTGAAAACCTGTCAGAACTATAGGTTTCTCAAGTCAATAAATGTAATTCACCACTAAACAGAAGCAAAGACAAAGGTCACATGATCATCTCAATAGATGCAGAAAAACCCTTGACAAAGTCCAACATCCATTCATCATAAAAACCCTGATGAAAATAGGTACAGAAGGAACTTATCTGATAAAAGCCATTTGTGATCAACCTACTGCCAACATCCTATTACATGGGGAAAAACCAAAGCTTGTTCTCTAAAATCAGGAACAAGACAAAGATGTCCACTAATACTACCCCTGTTTAACATTGTCCTTAAACACTAGCCAGAGCAACCAGGCAAGAGAAAGGAAAGGGGTATTGTAGGAAAGGACAAAGTCAAAGTAACATTATTTGCATACAAGTAGATGACATGATCGACTTACAAGCCTCCCAAAAATTCCATCAAAACTCTTGGGATTAATAACCAAATTTAGCCACGTAGCAGGGTACAAAATAAACATAAAAATCAACAAATACACTACTACACTAATAATGAACAAGAAAGAAATTAGGTAAACAATACCGTTTACAATAAAAGCAAGAAAAATACTTAGGAATTAACCTAACCAAGGTAGGGAAAGACTTCAACAACAAAAACTGTATTACTCTGAAATAACAAACCAGGGCTGGCGATGTGGCTCAGTGGTAGAGCATTTGCCAGCATGCAAAAGGCCGAGTTCAATCCCCAGTACCACAAAAAAAAAAAAAAAAAAAGGAAAGCTATCCCTGTTGCTGGTAGGCAGAAGCAATATAGTCAAAATGGCTGTACTTCCAAAACTGACATACAGATTCAATGCAATCTAAATCAAAATACATTTCTCACAGATCTTGAGAAAACAACCCTAAAATTCCCATGGAACCAGAATAGCAAAAGCAAAGGAGGCATCACAATCCCAGACTTGGAAGTTATACTACAAAGCTACTGTGATTAAAATAGCATCTATTGGCACAAAAAGTTATATAGATGAATGGAACAGAACAGAGAAAGTAGAAACAACCCCAGGCACATTCAGTTATTTGATCTTTGTCAAAGGGGACAAAAGCACACCCTGGAGGAAAGAGCCTCTTTAGTAAATGGTGCTGGGAAAACTGGATAGCCACTGAGCCTAGACCTCTATCTCTCACCATGCACTAAAACAAAATGGATCAAGAGTCGAAATGTTAAACAACCTGTTGAAAGATAAAACAGGTGAAACTCTTGAAGACGTGGTTGCAGGAAAGGACTTTCTGAACAGAACCCCAGTTGCACAAGAAATCATACCATGAATGAACAAATGCGATCACAGCAAATTAGAAAGCTTCTGCACAGCAAAGGAAACGACCAGAGTGAAAAGACACCTACAGAACGGGAAAAAATATCGCCAGCTATTTCTCAGACAGAGGACTAGTATCTCAAATACATAAAGAACTCAAAAAACTAGACCCTTTGCCCCCAATACATAGGCAACTGAAATGAATAGACACGTCTCAGAAGCACAAATGGCCATAGATTTACCATGTGGTAAACACAAGAAAAATGTTCAACATCACCGGCCATTAAAGAAATGCAAATTAAAACAACGCTGAGATGCCCCACATTCCAGAAAATATGGCCATCAAGAAATTGAAGAGTATCAAACCATGGCCATCAAGAAATCAAACAATAATGAGTTTCAGCAAGGATATGTGGGGGAAAGAAACTTCTATATTGTTGGTAGAATGTAAACTAGTAAAACCACTAGGGAAATCAGTATGGAAATTCCTCAAAAAACTAAAAATAGAAATTCCTTCTGACCCAGCTATTTCCCTTTTAGACATGGTCCAGAAGGAAGCCTCATGTTACAGGGATCCATGCGTACCCACATTTGCAGCAGCATAATTTGTAATAGTTAAATCTTAGAGATGGCCTATGTGCCATCAACAGATGAACAGATAGAAGGAACGTGGTCTTTACACACTGCAGGACTACTCTGCCGTGCAGACAAGCTCGCGGCACCTGGAGGTAAATGGATGCACCCTGAGACCATAATGTCAAGTGGAACAAGTCAGACACATGAGCTTAAACGGCACATGGCTTCTCCTACATGAGAAACTCGGAGGAGCGGGGCACAGAACAGAGGGACATAAAGAGGAAGTAGGGAGATCGTTCTCAAATGGGTGGGGGATGGGAAAATAAAGAATTGAAGGGGAAAAATGACGAAAATAGGGCCTCTGCAAAGGGCAAGAGGACCAAGAGTTGGAAGGGGCAGGGAGGGAAAAGGGTAGAGGATGGAAATAAAAGAATTAAGATGCAGACCTGTACCGCCCCCTCACGACGGTAAGATCATTATGCACTGTAAACACTAAGAACCAGACAAAAAAGGGCTGCGTTTCCAAGCCGGAGCTGCGCTTCCCAGAGTGCACAAGGCGGGGCTCCCAAGTGTGGGAAGGAGGCGCCCGAGAACAAGAGCCGGGCTCCGTGTGCCTGGGCAGCGTCTTCAAGGCAACTGGAAAGCGCCAGCCATGAGCACGCCCAACAGACGCACCGCTGCAAGTCTGCGTCCACACACTGCACAAGGCTCTCTCATACAAAGTGCCAGTATCAGAGAATATAAAATGGTTTTCCAGTAGGTAAAACAGCCCTGACTCTTGCATCACATAAAATAAGCTTAACATTTTAAGTGAAATATAAGAATCTAAACAGAAAAAGAACCTGATAGACTGTTACACTCTGGATGTAACATGCCTCCTAAAAGTTCCCATGTTCAGAGATGGGGTCTATTCATGGAACTGGATCGCCAGCCTTGACCCTCATTGGTGGCAACTCCGCAGCTGATTACGGGAACTGGCCGGGCCTCAGGAGGTGGGCGTGGCCTTGGGGATTGGTCCACCCCTTCCTCTCTGGCTCCGGGCCGTCCTGAGGCAAGCAGCCTTCCCTCCGCATGCTGTTTCTGCCTAGCACAGGCCTGAGGGCACGGGCTGAAACCGTGAGCCAAACCCCAGCCCTGCGCTCAGGGACTCGGCCACAGTGCGCTCAGACCCCAGCCAGCACGCGCAGCCCATCCCGGCTGTGGGCTCAGGGCCCTGCGGACAGCTTTGCCAAGCTCTCTCCAGACCTCTCCTCCACCACGACCACAAGGACAGGCTCCTCTTTCCTCCCAGGGCCACCCCAGTGGGGGCTCAATGACAGCCACGCCACTGCAGATGAGGGCGGCCACCACGCCTGCCCGCCCACACCATTAGCAAAGCCCAGTTCTGCAGGGGCTGGGACAAATCTGGGGGAGTCCCCTCCCCATTCTGCATGCTTGTCAGCGGTGCCACCAGGCCCTGTCTGCATCCAGCTGGGGGGCCTCTGCCTGCCCCCTCCCTGCCTGCTTTACTCTCCTGCCCTGTGTGCCCTCTGTGATTGGGCACTGGCGTGCAGCAAGAGGAGCACATCTGCAAAACAGGAGGAAGGCCCTCGCCGCACTCTAGCCTGCGGGTCCTCAGGGTGTCGTGGTGGACCAGGACTCTAGGCCCAGGGCGCCAGGGATGAAGGTGAAACCCCCTCCCAGAGCCGCCTCTCCAGGGGGACAGGCGCTAGAGAAAGGGGCGGGCCGTCCAGCCAGGGGCCTGGGCACCGAGTTCGGTGAGGGCACAATGTTCAGGCCCTGTGAGTTCTCCCAGGGCCTGGAGCAAAGCTTTTCTAGGTGCCCGGGGCACAGCCCTGGGTCACTGCGGGCTCAGGTCTCCTAAGAGCGGCAGGGCAGGGTGCCCTGGTTTGTCCTTGGGGGTGCAGATGCAGGGCATCAGTGTAAGGCATACACACAAGGTCACCTATGCCGGTCATGGCAGGACACTCCTAGAGCACAGTCTAGGACAGTGACAGGAGAGACCTGAGGACACTGGTGCCAAATCTGCACAGTCCCCAAGACATCAACAGATCCAAAAATCACTTCATATTTAAGAAAGCAATGGGTGGACAATGCCAGTTTTGGTTCCCATCATGAAGCGCCCTGGTGCCTGCTGAGTCACTGTGCGCACCGCATGGCTGGACAGGAAGGGAGGGGAGGAAACGGAGGCTGCATTCCTCCTCGCCGAGCCCGGCCTAAGTGCTGGACAGGGGCGCTCGGGCATGGTGCCCAGAGATACGCTGCTAAAACACATGCATGCGGCCACATCAAACGCCAAGGTCCCCACCAATCTTAAGCACCTGAAGGTCACTTCCACTCGCCCTGTAGAGGACCGAGAGAACACACATCACCACAGAGCTGTTTTCAGCCTTCAGGGCCAATCTGATGGGGTTCTGTGACCCCCCGGAACCTCTGTCTCAGGGTGAATAAAGCTCTTTATTCACCTGTAAATAAAGCCCTGTTTCCTAGAATGCTACAAGCAACGCCACAGAGCTCCCTCACTTCAGGGGACAGCCACACAGGCCAGGCCACCCACTTCCCCGTGCCCGGCCCAGCCCTCAGCCGCACCTTAGGCAGCTGCTCGCCACCGGGACACCAGAAGCCTCCTGTCCTCCCACACAGGTGCTGAGCAAGCAGAGGAGGCCAGGGAAGAGGAGGCTGGCCAGGCCGTCAGGAGGGACAGTGACCACGGGCCTGAGTCGGGGCCACACGCTTACCGCACAGGTGACTTCTGAACATCACTTGAGCATGTCGCGCCTGTCCTTCAGGACACTGCGGTGTGTGCTGTCCTATGTGACAGGGTCTGGAAGACAGTAAGATCGGATTAGACGCCATCTACAACAGGAAAGTACACGCCCTTCTCAGGGTGTGACTGACACTGCAGCTTCCACAGGCAACAAAATGTTTTACCCAAAGTTCTGTCGCTCTAGGCTACCCTTAACTACTAAGTCACTGCACTTATAATTACCTGGGAACTGACTGACAGTCCCGGAGACTAAGCTATTCATTTACTTACTTGTTGTTTTGAGACAGGTTCTTGTCACGTTGCCCAGGTTGGACTCCAACTCCTGGGTTCAAAGGATCCTCCTGTCTCAGCTTCTGGGTCTCTGGGACTCCAGGCACACTCCACTGGGCCTAACTGTATTCTAAAACCGCCCAATTTAGACTCCTTCTCCTTTAGCTGCACTGCTAAACACAGAGCCGTGCACCCAAATCCGCCAGAACAACCCCAGGGTCACTAAGCTTCACCTCAGCCAGCAGCAAACTTTCTGTAGCTGCATTAGACTACAGAGAGATGGGGAGGAGGAGCCCGGGACAGGGTGACAGGAGCCCAGTCCTGCTGGGCAGGGAGCAGGGAGCAGGCCCTGCTGGGTCTCAGGGAGGGTGCCTGGTTCACCCTTGTCTCCCAGGGCCCTCAGAATCCCGGCACAGGAAGGAACAGAAACCCTCCTGGAGGAACCGGTCTGGCCAAGGGCAAAGCCCTGAAGATACCAGATACAAGGGAGCCCGAGAAAGAGTCACTGCCAGGCTTCCCTAAGGCCAGGGCCACGGAGGTCACGCTGCACATGGACACAGAGCTTCCGGATGCTTATCACGGTTCCATCCTAAAAGTGAAGAAACCTAGGACATGTCACGAGTAACAGCAGAGGGGGAGGCGGGGCCAGAGGCTGTCGCACCCAGGAACCCACTCCTCCCGGCCTGCGGGAGGGTAACGGACAGAGGACAGAGCAGCCTGCCCCAGGACAGCAGTGAAGAGGCGAAACACCGGGGACCCGTCCAGAGCGCTGTCATCGCCCAAGCAGAACAGCACAGCAGGAAGTCATGGTTTCAGGGGAAGTGGCCCGCAGAGGGGTGCTGAGGGGAGCTGCTCAACAGAGTAAGGGGAGGCGTCCAGAGGTGAACCCTGAGGACACAGTAGGGGCCCCTCAACGTGGAGCAGCGGCACTGCTGAGCAGGAGCTCAGGGCCTGCTGGGAAAGCCAGGTGCTGCAGGGTTTGCTCTGCCTCTCTGCTCTGGCAGAACGAGCTACAAAGGAGGCCAGGTGTCCACTTTATTAGGGACTGCGTGGTGCCCACCACCAGTGTAAGAGGAGGTCAGGTAATGATGAGAGGGAGGGAGGAAGGGGAGAAGGGGAGAGGAAAAAGAAGAAGCAGGAAAGGAATTCAGAACCGACACAACAGAACATCAACACAGCACAGCTGTAATTACTACCCCGACACGTGAGAGCCGGAGAAACTCAGGTGAATGAAAAGAGGACATTCTGAGAACGCCATGGTTACCCAAAAATAAAATACAATGGCTGAAGTTAAAAATTTAAAAACAGGACTGGGCGGGAGGAGGAAACTCCCAGTAAGAACCAACAAAGAGGCTGACTTAGGGAAGAACACAAAACAGAACCAGACGACATGAGGGCAGCCAAGTCCACACTGCGCTCGCCACAGGCGGTGACGGAGCCCCTGGCATAGCGTGTGCCTGAGTGGGTACGGCTGGCCAGGACGTCTGCTGCACACCCAGGGCTCTGGCAAACAGGCCTCCCGGGGCCGAACTCTGGCCTCCGGCTCCACGGTACACTAGCCTGTCCCTCCACTCCATCCACGGTCCTCCCCTACAGTGCTGTCCTGTGTACCCCACACCCACTCTTGGGGTGAAGCCAGGCCCCAGACAGGGTGCCAAGAACCCAGGGAGGAAGCCGCCAACGGGATGCTGCACTTGGGGAGGACCCAGAGGTGGGGGACGTTTGCCTCGCTTTGGGCCTGACCCATTGGGGCGTGGCTCCTGATAGCAGAGGCCCTGCACTTTCTGCCCCTCCTGCCACCCTATCTCCCCATCCTGCTGGCAGTGGCCTGTGACTCTGGGCACTGCAGGGCGACTCAGGCCTCTGATCTCAGCACTCACTGGACAGGCTTCCATCCCAGGCCTCAACACGTACCTCCCCTACTTCGGGCTTCCTATACCCTCCTGGCTCATAGCCCTTCTGCGCCTCTGAACAACATAAGCGGCCAGAGAGCCCCAGCCACCGAAAAAAAAGCACTTAAAAATGACCTTGCACACAGTGACTTTATTCAAATACTTAGGCACTAGCCACCTGCTTTAAATGTTGAATAATATTCAGAACTGTCTCCCAGTGAGCTGTCTTGGCAATGTCCTGAAATCTAAAGCTGGCTTATGAATATAGGACTGTCTGCTATAGGCAGCAGGTCTATAGCAGGATATCCACAAGACCAAATCCTTGATTATTTCTATAAATTAAAAAAAGCAACCAACAGAACAATCACTGGGAAAGCAGTCTGGCACTTCCTCCAAGTTAAGCACCCACCCACCCTGTGACTCAGCAGTGCGCCTGCTCCTGGGGTTCACTCACGAAAAATGAGCCTGGACACAAAAGTGTTGCAAACCTGCTCTGAGCAGCAGTATCATGATACCCCGGGAGCAAACGACCGCACAGCCCTCGACAGGACAGCGGTAGTCAGACAATGGTGCCCTCCGAGAAGAAAAAGAAATGATCAACGCAAGCACAGCGTGGGTCAATCCCCGAAACATTCAGCCCAGTCCAAGAAGCCAGACAATGAAGAGTGTCCAGCGTGGGTCCACTGGTGTGACACTCAAAACCGGGCAAGCGGCCAGGGATGTAGCTCAGTGGCACAGCCCCTGCCTGACAGGCACAAGGTCCTGAGTTCAATTCCTGGTACAAAAAAAAAAAAACTGGGCAGACTTACCACAAAAGAAATCAGAAGAAGGGTTTGAGCACAGTGGGAACAATGACTATGCAGAGGCCAAAGCTCACACACCGAGCTGAGGACGTGCCCAGGTCTGGCGGGGAAGTGGGCTGCTCGGGTCCATGCACTCATCAAACGTCACTGAGCTGCTCACCCACTTTACACCCCACTTTTCACCATCGATCAGGCCTGAATAAAGAAGTCAGAGAGAAAAAGACCCAGCTTGGGCCCAGGAGGCCAGCATGGACCCTCGGGCAGAGGCCCCGCCCTGGCTGTTTCTGTCCTCTGTCTCTCACTCAGGGGGAAGCCCTGCCTTAGACTTACTTCTGTTCACAACGCCAAGCTCCTTAAGCTCTTCCCGTCACCGTTACCTTTACAAAACGCACTTCACATAAACACGGTAAGATAAGCGAACAAAAGACAGCAGTATTCTCTGGTGATCGGTTCCTACTAACATAAGCAAGATGTGACTGTTTTACACCGCAGTGTCCGGAGCGCGTACCCAACAGCCTGGCATTCCTGTCCGTACCAAGCCACTGCTTAGACCCCACTGTGCACTGTGCACTTCACCCAGGAACAGACTGATCTGCGGCCGCAGCGGCACGGGAAGCAGAGGCGAACCCGCCAGGAGGTCCAGCTGAGCAAACGTGGTACAGACTCCCTGGCACCAGGCACCATGCAGGCTCCAGGGACAGACAGAGCTTTGGCCCCAGGAGATCTCGATCAGCAAACGGGTAATGAGCCTCCAGGTAACACGCCAAGTGTTCCCGAATCAGGAACCTTGTGACGGGAGAGCCGACAGCAGCCAATCCTGTGGGGGAGCTCCAGGAAGGAGGGAGCCCCAGTGAAGACAGCGGCAGGGGGTGTGGCACACAAGCAGGACGCACACTGGAAGAAAAGCGCAGCCCGGGGCCTCGCTTTCACTGTCTTCTTACTCTTGTGGTGGCCACTCCCCGGCAGGGTGTCTCCTCACCCCTTAATTTCTACTTCTGTTTTCTCTTCTTCTTTGTTAACCTTCAATAAACACTGACCTTTTCTTTTTATATACATATATATACAGACATACACACACATATACATATACATACATATACATACATATACATACATATACACACAGACATATACACACATATACATACACACGCACATATACATGCAGAACCACGAGTGTGCACTGGAACGGGGAGGGTCAGCACACTAAGGGGAAATGTGACCAACAGGACAGGACAGGTCTGACTCCCAAGTCCCCTGGGCGACATACTCAGGAGCCTGCAATTCTGGACTTCATTCTGCTGACACGAGAGGCACAGAGTTCAGGGACAAGGACGGGTGTTTTAAAGAGACCACTGCCCCAGTTACATCAGCAAAACCCCTGGACTAAAAGCACATAAGCCCGCAGACCTGATGCCTTTTTACTAACTTAGTCCTTATTCTCACAAGCACCAGAGGGGCACTGCAGGTTTCAGTTTTTAAAGAATGAAGCCTCAGAAGAGAAAAGGAAAACAGGTGACATTAGAAGGCAAGTGCTAGGAACGTGGAACGGCAAGCCCCAACCTGAAAGAGCAAATCTGGGGTGGGGACACCCAGCCGGGCACCTCACAGAGACCTCGGACCTGTGAGCAGCACACACAGACCCCTCGGGACCAAGCCTCACAGCAACCCCACCGCCCAGAAGAGAGGAGGCAGCCAAGACATCCTCTGGGAGAGATGACAGCTGGTTCCGTCCACGCAGCCCAGGAACACAACATGGGACAGTCGGGGAGGCAACTATCCAGTCAAAGCAGTGAGCAGCTGCACACGGTGGTCCAGCACTGGGACCTGTCCGGAAGGTGAAGGCACAGACCTGGCAAGCACATCAGTGGGTGCAGGGACGGCAGGGCACATGAGGCTTGGGTGCTTCAGGGTAGGGCAACTACTCTGTAGGGTATCGTGTCAGCACTAATACACAACAGATGCATGACATACCTGTGACAAACAGGCACGACAGCTATGTGACATCGAGAACTGTACAACTTCAACTTCACAGCACAGTGAGCATTAATGTATGCAAACTTAAAAAAAATCCTTCAGGATGCCAGCAGGT